AGAATCGAATTTTTGCATGTTGCATTTGTTGCTATAAAATTTGATTGATCTGAGTTTTCTATGAAAAATGGTAATGTTTTGATTAGAATTTGAAAATTTCGGCAAACAAAAGCAATAGGGGCAAACTTTAACCGACGACCCCCCCCCCATTGAGATGATTAAAATTTTTGAAAAATTTTATGATAATCTATTTCGACTTTTAAGAGCGTTCATGGTAACAACATTCATTAAAAAAAAATTTTTTTGATGCCCTATTTAGGGGGTGTAGCTCCCTTAGGAAACATCTCTCGACCCATGTTTATTTGAAAAAATATTCTTATTTTTCGCAATATAATCAAGTGGTAAATTATTGGACACTAATTTTGAGACACCCTGTATATAAGAAAACTCTACATTTGATTTAATATTTTATCAAAAATGTTAATTATAATGTTAAGCAAATTAGTATACAACGCACGCTTGTTAATCTGCCGCCAAAAAAGTACGAAATACTGATGCTATACAATCGTTATTAATTAGGCATATAATTAAGCANATTCTATCCCACGTTTTCGTCTGTTCCCCTAACATATTTAATGCCCGCAAATGAGTCATCGCGTCATCTATTAAGTTTTGTAACTCTTCATGGGATTCTTTTTGCAATATTGGTAACTGAAATATAGCATGAATATGATCATAAATGGACATACTTTTATTTTCGTATCTTTCTTCTAGACATTTCCACACTTCCGCGTAATTTTTCGACGAGATTTCCTTAGACCTTAACCTTTTTTGTACCGATTCTGCTAATGAGGTTTTTAAATAGTAAAATTTCTGAACATCTGATAAACCTTTATCTTCATTTACCATTTCACTGAACAATTCCTTAAATTCTAACCAATTTTCTGGCTTTCCGTCAAATGTTGGTAATTTTACTGGAGGTAATTTTACTTTGGGTGATTCATTACTCGATGCTAACGACTGACCCGAGTGTACCGATACATTCTCGTTATTATTTACATTATTTGTTTGAATTAGTGCCCTTATTTGACCAACTAACCCGAAATACTCGCTTTCAAACTGTTCCCTTTCTACTTCATAGTCATTTCCTTTTTCTAACCACTCAATTTGCATTTGTAACTCATCAAATTCTCCTAACAATGGCTCAACTTTATCTAACCTTACTGTCAGATTATTCAATATTTCTTGTGACATACTATCTACACCTAATTCTTTGACAAACTTAGTAAATCTCCTCAATTTAGATTTTACTCCTTCAATTTTCAATTTCAACTCTTCTACTGAAATTTCCATTTTCTTTTTATTTTATTTTCTTTTACTTGATTATTATTAATATTCTACTTATTATTATTTTTTACTTTTATTAATTATTTACTTTAATTCTTTACCCAAATAGAAAGCATTAGTGCAAGTATTTTATTGGAATTAATTTATTCGGAATAGGACCGTTTTTGGAAAATGAAACGTCCCTACCTGACTGCCTTTTTCTGCGTCAATTCTCTGACGACTCACGCTTACTGCTACTGCTATGTGCTAACTGATCCAACCATCCGGCTCGAAGGACCAAAAACTGTTGCTTCGATTGTGGACTGTATTTGTTTTTAATGAGATTTATTTTTACTTGTACATACATAGATTATGACAATTAATGATTACATTTAACGTGAGTCTCTTGAACCTTGACACATATATCTTCTGTCACTCAATCATTTACGCCGTCTTGTTTTTGCTTCGCTTCACTTCCCCACTAGGGCCCATTTCGCACAAGAGCACTAAAAAAATAAATGTCAGAAATAGTTTTTTTGTATAATAATAAAGATTGCACCATAAAATAGAATTTTGTTATTTTTTGTTGTTGTTGAAAAAAGTACCTCTAAATGAATCGCCCGTTATTATCTTCCGTTCTTGCACAGCAATGTCTTTCTTACAGAATGTAACGTATTTGTTTTCCAAATGGTCTATCAAGCAATGAAAAAAAACCTATATCGTTGCATTTCATTTTTTTAGTAAACGGAGACAATTACAAAACTTTTCTGATTAACGTCGTCTACCGTTGCGAAGGAAAATAATATTTTTATTCCCATATAAAAATAAATTTAATTAATAGTTCTTTAAAATGAGCCGTCCTTTCTTGAAATCAATTAAGGCATTTAGAAGTCATGACAATTTAAAAATTTCAAAATAGCGTCCTTTATACTGGCGTTGCTATGGTAATAAGAAAAGAAAAAGGGTAAACAAAACTTATGAAGAATTTAACAGTGTATCTAAAAAGTGTATTTTCAACTTGCGTTATATAAACGAAATTTCGAAAAAAATTACAATTTTCTGTAACACTATAGCAGTTGTGCCCTCTGGCGGTGAAGTTACAAACTTGAAGTCAATTTTAACTTTAAGGGCGCCGTTTTATAGACAAGAAATCGCACTTTTGGNTTCCCTTTAAAACCAAGTAGGCGTAGGTAGTGAAACAATACCATAGATCAAGCAAGGGGTAAAACATACCCGTGGAACACAAAAATAACTATTATTTATTTACAAGCATATACAGGGTCGGAAAGTACCGATGGTCCATCTGCCTTACGTGAGAGCGATAAAGTAAGTCATAGAAATCCGTGCGATAGAGAAAGATGGCTATAATGAAGGCGTCTTAATAGTCATCGCCCATTTCGCCCTTCCACTAATAAGAAGTGGATCTTATTTGTGGAAGGGCGAAACGGGTGAAACATTATAGCCATCCTTCTCTATCGCATGGATTTCTATGTCTTACTTTATCGCTCTCACGTAACGGCAGATGGGCCATCGGTACTTTCCGAACCTGTATGTAATGTTGATATTCAAATTTACAGTAAGTTTGGAACATATTTATGGCTTTGACATATATATCTAGATGGAAAGTGATATTTACCAGACAAATGTCACTTTTAACTCTGGTAAATGTCAACATGCATTGAACAACGAAAATGTTTGTTTCAAAAATTATCTTATTGTACATTAAAACATTCTCAACAAATTTTATTCATATTTAATTATTTTACTAAATTAATTGTAACAATCGATTGGTTATAAGCACCAACAGAAATTGTTAATCCATGCTGAACATCCCGTATAGAAATGATAACGTTTTTAGTATTGGAGTTTGGCATTTCGCCAGATATTTTTGTGGCAATTTTAACCTGAGAATCTGTAGGCTTGTCGACGTACCCTTCCTCTGGGGTGGAAGATTTCCATCCCCTTAATCTCTTCAACTGGAGAATGTTACCACCGCTATTTACCAATACTGTGGCTGCCATTCTTCAGAAACAGTGTCCCGTGTATGTTTCACAATGCAGAAGCTTTAGAAACACTGCAATTTTTTTGGGAAATTGACTTAATTGTAAAAAGAAGTTTTCATTTAGAAAGTCTAAATGGAGTGCAACGCATGTTTTAATTAACGTTACCCATTCTTCATTACTCACTATAAATACTCTTGACTGGTAGGTTTTTGATGTTGGAATTTCGATGTGAACCTTATTTTCTACGATATTAACATCAGTCAATTTCAATTTATACAGTTCGTCACTTCGACATGCATATGATACACCAATTATGAGTGCAACCTTTATAGGCAGCATATCATCAACTGCATTCTTCAAAAATGCCGCAATGTTCTCACTGGAGAAAGTGCTTGACTTTTTGGATACATATCCTAGATTTTGTTGTTTCAAAAATGCCAATAACTTCGAAAATTATATCCACTTTATCTTTAATATTTAAAGTAGTACGCAACATTGAATAAATAGACCAAAGGGTTGACGACTTTTTGATTTTGGCAATTTTGCTAAAAAAAAGTCAGCACAATAGTTTCAGAAACAGCTTCCTAAACACCGTTTTGCGATCACCAACTCTTGAAAACATCACAAACTTTATCGTATCTTCTTAGTTATTACAGGGGCAATGAGGATGACCTCAACGGCTGCGTTAGAGGTCCTTCTGGGGTTGCCGACCCTCCGTACATGGATTGTAAGGGAGGCGAGGGCGGCATACCTTAGAATAAGACGCGGGCGGTTGGAGAGCGAATGGACGCACTAGCAGAAGACTAACTTAGGTTAGGAAGGGAGTATGTCACCACTTTCCCCTCGAGAGAGCAGTGGAAGCAGTAAGGTGATATGTTCCCCCGGGGATCCCTAGTATGCCATACGGATGGATCTAAGGTAGGAGACGAGTTTTCAGGAGCAGGAATTTATCTGGAAGGCAGAGGTATCCACGAGCCTTTCACTGGGTATGTACGCCAGTCTTCCAGGCCGAGGTTTTTGCTATTTTGATGGTAGCAAGCAAGGAGGAGGTTAAGGAATTGTGTAGAGAAGATTTTTATCTGCTCCGACAGTTAGACCGCGCTTAGAGCGGTTAGCTCCTCGAGGACAAGGTTTGCCCCCATTCAGGAATGTGGAGACGCTCTAGAGTCATTGGCCAGACGAAAAGAGGTAGAGTTGGTTTGGGTCCCAGGCCCCATGGGTATTCCTGGTAACGAGAGGGCTGATCAACTAGGCCAGGGACCTGAACCAATCCTAGGAATCACACGAGATAGCATTAATGAGGCCCTTAATAAATGGGCCTATCAATCTTTAGGTCAGAACTGGAGGATAAGTAGAGGATGCAGGCAGGCCCATAGTTTCATACATGGACCTAACAAATCTAAGACGAGATGGCTGCTGAGTCTTAGTCGAAGAGCCCTAAACCAAATGGTAGGGGTGCTGACGACCAACTTAGGAGGCATTTAAGTTTAATAGGAATTGAGGAGGCCTTTATGCCTGAAATGTGGAGTAGGGGAGGACACCCCTATCCACATTCTGGGACATTGTGCAGCCTTTTGGAGCATAAGTCATAAAGTCTTTGGTGCTGAAGATCTTTAGGGGGTTGAGGTGCGAGATCTTCCATGGACCAAAAACCTGGCATTCATAAGGGCATCGGGTAGGTTCGAGGAAGGTCAGAGGCAGAGAGTGGATAGGTGAAGGGACGGTGGGGTAGGCAAAAAGGGCCCACTTGTGGCCTAATTGCCAGGCTGAGGCCGCCCCTATTCACTACTACTACTTATCGCACTTTGCATGACAGGGGAATTTTAATAAACAAAAAATTGTTACAATTCCAAGGGATTTTCATTTTTTATTTTCACAAATAGAAAAGAGTCCAGGCTTCTAAATTTTTTTTATTTATAAAAAAATAATAATTTCGTGTGTTTTTACCCAATTCTTCTTCATTGAATATTTCCGCTTTTTACTCGAAGACTGGGCTTTCGTAATTTCTTACTTAATTCATATCAAACAAACCATGCCCTCCTACCTCCCTCTCCATGCATCTCCAACCTCTCGCCATTCGCTTAAAGCCTGCTCTTGATTGGGTAGCTTATTTAATTTTTGACTAATTAAAGGTGCATCAGAAAAACAAATGTCAAAGGACATTTCTCTCAGAATTCCACCTTTTTTCTGTGTCTGTCAACTATTGAGTTTGAAGACACCCCAACACCATAAATATTAAAGAATCATATAAGTAGGATTTGGCTTTTGTATATGTCGTACAAAATGGCTTGTAACTTGTAATACTAGCCAAAATATAAAAAAAGTTCCTATACACGTATCTCCTAAAACAACTTCATACAGCTCTTTGAAGATGCAAGGAAAATGGACTTTTTTATCAATAGTAAAAAAAAATTATTTACCTTAGAAAATCTTAAATCTATTTTTCATCAGTATTTTTTTTGTAAAATTTTTCATTAGGCGTACCATAGTTCCATCAAAATAACCTTTGAAGAGGTCCTTTTAGACACTTGGGTTTATGTACAGGGTGTTTCATAACTCTACCAACACATGTGTAGAGGATTTTAAAATATGACGATTTGTTGTGAAACATTTTCTTCTGGGATTTATCGTTAAAGAGGTATGGGCGTCCAAAGATGAGTGTTAAATTTTGAAAAACAATATTTTAGCAATGCCTTAACATAGAGCAACCAAATTTGGTACATGATTTGCGTTTATTGTTATCTTTAATTGGTAAAAATATGAATTTTTTGGAAGCCCAATAAGGGCCGGACTAGAGGTAGGGTGCCGTTAAAAAGATATCGATTTTTTTTATCAGTATGCCAATTATTAGTTTTACCAGTATTACAGGAAATTTAATTTTAAAAATTGATATACTTTTTACAAATTTTTCAAAAAAATAACGGT